TTTCTGATTATCGTTTTAGCCTACTGTTTCAACAGTGTAGGGTGTAGCGAGGTAGCCTATATGGGCTACAGCTCAGTTAGGGTTATACCTGTACTCAGCTTGATGTCAATGCAATCATTCCTGCTCGTTAGTTTCTAACAGTGCGCACATGGGGATTCGAACCCGAGACCTTCGCTCTGAGACCATGCCAGAACCAGAGCCACTAACCAGTGTAATACAAAAGCTTATTTATGTAGCGGGTGAGTGCTCCCGTAACCCCCTAGGCCAACGTGGCCGCAACTCTTCCCTATGATCAATCGGGCATCCCCAGTGCAAGCCTTCTGGGAGTAATCAATTTCCGGTCTTAATTCATAAATAAAATGTTAAAATACTGTTACAGGGAGTCTCACGATGGAACTACATCGGGCCATTTCTTGACATGAGTTGCAACGACTTGTCATGCTGGCCAATTAGTAGTGCCGTAAGCGAATACCCTAACTGGAAATATATTCGTTAAACCTGAAAGCAACCATTAAGTGGCCACTTGTTTTTTATCCCTATTTGACGTGTCACATGTTCTCATACATTCACAAAGGTTGCACCATACATGCTTCACTTTCTAACACTGTACATGGCATGATATATCAGCTTTCCCCCTCAAAGGGTCTTGCTCGAGTCGACTTGATTGGCGAGCGTGAGAACGAGATTGGGAAGGTCATTGGTGCCACTTGTTTGTTTTGGCGGCTTTTGCATGAATGACAAACGGGAGCATAAGTGGGTGACATTTGTTGATCGTGGGTGACATTTGTTGATCGTGGGTGACATTCAGGCTGGTGCCCCAACACTTGCTAGGAAACATCTTTGATTTCCACCGTCTGGGACCGTGAGGCATGCATTCAGACCGTACAGTACAGAGCGACCGAGGTGCCCTTCTTTCTTGCGACAACAATCCAGATCTGTCTGACACCACTCGATGATGTGTGTTGAGTTGTTTTCCCGAATGACGATTCAGAATGCGGGCGTGCCCTGTATTTTGCAGGCACTTTTTTGGCGAAAAATGCCTCATTGGGAAATTGTTCGTGCCCTGCCCTCTACAGTCATGGGCTGAAGTAGTCCACGGCGCCCCTGGAACCTCCTCTGCCAATTTTGTACCAGATGAAGCAATTTTGAAGTCAAGTCTGCACTGCAGTCGCGAAAACAGGTAGGGTATGCAGCCTGAGGAAGCACACTCCTTTTTCAGGCCTTGGGCGGTAATGCCCCCAGCTTCAATGCACTCCAAGATCTTACAGAAAGAGAATGCGCCAACAAGGAATCATGGTTTTGCTCCGAAGTCCCAAATGCCTTCTTTCCGAAGAGGTACTGTATTCCCTAGCTTCTTCCAGGAGTGCACTCCTGCTCGTCACCTCTCTTCGGTTTCTCCAGGCTCACCGCCGTTCCCGCATAGCAGTCACCTCCTGTGATGGCATCGAATTAATTCAAGAAACATCTCAAACTCAGTTTCTCGTGCACAATGTTTCGCTCCAAGGTGCTACTCTCTGCAATATCGAGTTAATTATGCTTCCGCCGTCGACTTTCTCAGCCGTTTTTTGCGAAGCTTGCCGGCGTTCAGCACTTCGTCGTAGACAGCAGCAGTAAGTTCGCTAGAACCATTACTGAGTCTGATACCGAGCAGTGAATTCGTTAATAGCAGCCGTAGATCTCGCTATTCGCTAATAAACATACTCCGAGTATCACATCCCACAATGTTGGTCCGCATTCGATGTTTCTGTTTTGTTTGTAAGTTATTTTCCGTTTTCAAATGATTCGCAGTTGTCGCGAAGAACTTCAAATCTCTCAGCGACGGCTATGAAGGCAGTGCCTTAGAAACGAAGTAGGTTTTTGGAGTGAATGATCTTGATCCTCCGCCAGCAAGACCAAATGCGTCGCCATACGATGGCCCGAACACGCATTCCGGCCGTCACTGACGTTTCTCGATATCACTGACGCTTTCCGCCATCGCTGGTGTTTATCGCAATCGCTGACGTCTATCCCTGACGTTTGTTGTTCTCACTGACAAATCCTTACTCACGCTGACGTTTATCGTTATCCGTGACGTCTGTCGATATAACTGACGTTCAGAGCTTCCCTAACGTTATCGCAGTCACTATCGTCGCAGCTACTATCGTTTCGATTATCACCACCCCTGACATTTATCGTTATCCCTAACGTTTTCCGTCAGGAGGAGCGAGGGCCATGGCGGCGGCGGTTATATTCGTGTTAGGGTTCGCTCTGGGAGCGATGCTGCTAACGATGTGGAAATACGTCATGGACCAGCGGCAGACGCTACGCGACCGCGAGGTCAGTGCGGCCATACCTACGACCGCGAGGTCAGTGCGGCCATACCTACGACCGCGAGGTCAGTGCGGCCATACCTACGACCGCGAGGTCAGTGCGGCCATACCTACGACCGCGAGGTCAGTGCGGTGCGGCCATACCTACGACCGCGAGGTCAGTGCGGCCATACCTACGACCGCGAGGTCAGTGCGGCCATACCTACGACCGCGAGGTCAGTGCGGCCATACCTACGACCGCGAGGTCAGTGCGGCCATACCTACGACCGCGAGGTCAGTGCGGCCATACCTACGACCGCGAGGTCAGTGCGGCCATACCTACGACCGCGAGGTCAGTGCGGCCATACCTACGACCGCGAGGTCAGTGCGGCCATACCTACGACCGCGAGGTCAGTGCGGCCATACCTACGACCGCGAGGTCAGTGCGGCCATACCTACGACCGCGAGGTCAGTGCGGCCATACCTACGACCGCGAGGTCAGTGCGGCCATACCTACGACCGCGAGGTCAGTGCGGCCATACCTACGACCGCGAGGTCAGTGCGGCCATACCTACGACCGCGAGGTCAGTGCGGCCATACCTACGACCGCGAGGTCAGTGCGGCCATACCTACGACCGCGAGGTCAGTGCGGCCATACCTACGACCGCGAGGTCAGTGCGGCCATACCTACGACCGCGAGGTCAGTGCGGCCATACCTACGACCGCGAGGTCAGTGCGGCCATACCTACGACCGCGAGGTCAGTGCGGCCATACCTACGACCGCGAGGTCAGTGCGGCCATACCTACGACCGCGAGGTCAGTGCGGCCATACCTACGACCGCGAGGTCAGTGCGGCCATACCTACGACCGCGAGGTCAGTGCGGCCATACCTACGACCGCGAGGTCAGTGCGGCCATACCTACGACCGCGAGGTCAGTGCGGCCATACCTACGACCGCGAGGTCAGTGCGGCCATACCTACGACCGCGAGGTCAGTGCGGCCATACCTACGACCGCGAGGTCAGTGCGGCCATACCTACGACCGCGAGGTCAGTGCGGCCATACCTACGACCGCGAGGTCAGTGCGGCCATACCTACGACCGCGAGGTCAGTGCGGCCATACCTACGACCGCGAGGTCAGTGCGGCCATACCTACGACCGCGAGGTCAGTGCGGCCATACCTACGACCGCGAGGTCAGTGCGGCCATACCTACGACCGCGAGGTCAGTGCGGCCATACCTACGACCGCGAGGTCAGTGCGGCCATACCTACGACCGCGAGGTCAGTGCGGCCATACCTACGACCGCGAGGTCAGTGCGGCCATACCTACGACCGCGAGGTCAGTGCGGCCATACCTACGACCGCGAGGTCAGTGCGGCCATACCTACGACCGCGAGGTCAGTGCGGCCATACCTACGACCGCGAGGTCAGTGCGGCCATACCTACGACCGCGAGGTCAGTGCGGCCATACCTACGACCGCGAGGTCAGTGCGGCCATACCTACGACCGCGAGGTCAGTGCGGCCATACCTACGACCGCGAGGTCAGTGCGGCCATACCTACGACCGCGAGGTCAGTGCGGCCATACCTACGACCGCGAGGTCAGTGCGGCCATACCTACGACCGCGAGGTCAGTGCGGCCATACCTACGACCGCGAGGTCAGTGCGGCCATACCTACGACCGCGAGGTCAGTGCGGCCATACCTACGACCGCGAGGTCAGTGCGGCCATACCTACGACCGCGAGGTCAGTGCGGCCATACCTACGACCGCGAGGTCAGTGCGGCCATACCTACGACCGCGAGGTCAGTGCGGCCATACCTACGACCGCGAGGTCAGTGCGGCCATACCTACGACCGCGAGGTCAGTGCGGCCATACCTACGACCGCGAGGTCAGTACGCCCATTCCCTTCCTGAACGCTCTGCAGCTGGCGGACACTCAGTCACCCCTCCCCGATTCCCCCTTCCGCCTATCCCCCTCCCCATTACCCATTCCCCCTCCCCTCTCACGAGCAGAAGGCGGACATCCACTTCCTGAACGCGCTGCAGCTGGCGGACCTCCGGGCGATCTGCCGCGAGGACACCCCTGGCTGGGTGCACTTCCAGGAGTTTGAGCATGTGCGATGGGTCATGGGTCATGGGTCACGGGTGATGTGGGTGATATGGTTGGTGATGAGTGATATGGGTGATAGCGCATGTGAGATGGTGATGGGTGATGGGTGATGGGTGATATGGGTGATAGCGCATGTGAGATGGTGATGGGTGATATGGGTGATATGGGTTATAGCGCATGTGAGATGGTGATGGGTGATGGGTGATATGGGTTATAGCGCATGTGAGATGGGTTTTTTGAGGCGCCTCAGCTGGCGGACATTCGGGCGATCTGCTGTGAGGACACCCCCGGCTGGGTGCACTTCCAGGAGTTTTGAACATGTTCGATGCTGATGGTTGTTTGATATGGGTGATGGAGCATGTGAGATGCGTGATGGGTAATGGGAGATAGAGCATGTGAGATTGGCCATGGGTGTTACAGCATGTGAGACGGGTGATGGGAAGGGATTGACAGGTCAAGCGTCATTGGCACCAGCATCAAAGTGCTGCGTTTTGTCGCATGGCGCGAAACGATTTGGAAACTTGACGCTCGATTGGAGTTTAAGGGCCGTTTAAGAGTGTGGGAGGAAGGCGGCAGTACCAAGGGGCGGGTTCTAGGGTTTACTAGTCGATCTGCCAAAACATGCCAAGAAAATGGCAAGATTTGGCGGTTGACACGTTTGTAGGAGGAGGAAGGCTGGCTAGTTGTAGTGTGGTGAAGAGTGGTGGAAACATTGAATGTGGTTGGGGGGAGAGGGGGGGGGGGGGGAATGCTGGCTGGGGTCGATTTCGCGAGTTGCGTCAACACAAAATCGCATGCGGGAGGTTTGCCTGTGAGACTGGGTCCCTGGAATGTTCTGCGGGCTCAACCTGCACAGCGTTTTTGCGCACGCATGACACATGCGCATCAAGCTTCAACAGCGTTATTGTCCGTCGTCGCTCGTCAAAAACAGTAAGTTTTGATGCTTCACACTCCAGCTAGGGAATTTACATACACATGGGATGGGAGATACGGCATGTGGGATGGGCGATAGAGCATGTGGGATGGGCGATAGAGCATGTGGGATGGGCGATAGAGCATGTGGGATGGGCGATAGAGCATGTGGGATGGGCGATAGAGCATGTGGGATGGGCGATAGAGCATGTGGGATGGGCGATAGAGCATGTGGGATGGGCGATAGAGCATGTGGGATGGGCGATAGAGCATGTGGGATGGGCGATAGAGCATGTGGGATGGGCGATAGAGCACGTGGGATGGGCGATTGAGCTTGTGGGATGGGCGATAGAGCATGTGGGATGGGCGATAGAGCATGTGGGATGGGCGATAGAGCACGTGGGATGGGCGATTGAGCTTGTGGGATGGGCGATAGAGCATGTGGGATGGGCGATAGAGCATGTGGGATGGGCGATAGAGCATGTGGGATGGGCGATAGAGCATGTGGGATGGGCGATAGAGCATGTGGGATGGGCGATAGAGCATGTGGGATGGGCGATAGAGCATGTGGGATGGGCGATAGAGCATGTGGGATGGGCGATAGAGCATGTGGGATGGGCGATAGAGCACGTGGGATGGGCGATTGAGCTTGTGGGATGGGCGATAGAGCATGTGGGATGGGCGATAGAGCATGTGGGATGGGCGATAGAGCATGTGGGATGGGCGATAGAGCACGTGGGATGGGCGATTGAGCTTGTGGGATGGGCGATAGAGCATGTGGGATGGGCGATAGAGCATGTGGGATGGGCGATAGAGCACGTGGGATGGGCGATTGAGCTTGTGGGATGGGCGATAGAGCATGTGGGATGGGCGATAGAGCATGTGGGATGGGCGATAGAGCATGTGGGATGGGCGATAGAGCATGTGGGATGGGCGATAGAGCACGTGGGATGGGCGATTGAGCTTGTGGGATGGGCGATAGAGCATGTGGGATGGGCGATAGAGCATGTGGGATGGGCGATAGAGCACGTGGGATGGGCGATTGAGCTTGTGGGATGGGCGATAGAGCATGTGGGATGGGCGATAGAGCATGTGGGATGGGCGATAGAGCATGTGGGATGGGCGATAGAGCATGTGGGATGGGCGATAGAGCATGTGGGATGGGCGATAGAGCATGTGGGATGGGCGATAGAGCATGTGGGATGGGCGATAGAGCACGTGGGATGGGCGATTGAGCTTGTGGGATGGGCGATAGAGCATGTGGGATGGGCGATAGAGCATGTGGGATGGGCGATAGAGCACGTGGGATGGGCGATTGAGCTTGTGGGATGGGCGATAGAGCATGTGGGATGGGCGATAGAGCATGTGGGATGGGCGATAGAGCATGTGGGATGGGCGATAGAGCATGTGGGATGGGCGATAGAGCACGTGGGATGGGCGATTGAGCATGTGGGATGGGCGATAGAGCATGTGGGATGGGCGATAGAGCATATGAGAAATTCGAATCAGAGAGGTTCGAGCCGCAGCAAGCTTTGTTGCCCCTTCCCTCCTCATCCCCACCCCCCTGTTTCCCCCCTCCTCCTGGGCCGTGACTGGCAGGTGCACTGGCTGAACGTGCAGCTGCAGGAGGTGTGGAAGTACGTTGACCGGGTGAGTTGGGGGGGGGTGGGGGGGGGATGGGTTGGGTGAGTTGGGGGGGGTGGGTTGGGTGAGTTGGGGGGGGTGGGTTGGGTGAGTTGGTTAAGGGGGGTTGGGTTGAGTTGGGGGTGATTGGGCATGCAGAGGAGGTGATAGGAAGGGTGGGATGGGGAGCTGGGGCGACTGGGAGAGCCGGCGTGCGGCTGTATTGTGTAAGCCGTCTCATGCTCTCCCCTCGCCATGCACACCACGTCTCATGTGGTGAGGGGCGTCGTAGAGTCCACACTCGACACGACATTTACCTGCCCTCTCTCTCCCAGCCGCAAATCCCTTCTTTTCTTGTCCACACCCTCTCCCACACTGCAGGCCACGTCTACAAGGCCTCTCTCTCCCTCGCTCGCTGCTACAAGCTGCATTTCCCCTCTCCTCTCCCCTCTCCTCTCTCCCCGTGCAGGCGACATCGCATCTGGTGAAGGAGGTGGTGGAGCCCATGCTGGACAGCTACAAGCCTCCAGGAGTGTCGTCGCTGGCCTTCAAGCGCTTCAAGCTCGGCAGCAATGCGCCGCGCATAGAAGGTGCGTGCACCTCTTGTTGCACATAGCAGGTGCACCTCTTGTTGCACATAGCAGGTGCACCTCTTGTTGCACACAGCAGGTGCGCCTAGTGTGGGATTGAAGCAGGCGAGCCTTCTCTGCTGTGCCTGCCGGGCAGTGGGGTATAGTACAGCAGAGGGCGCCTAATGAGGCATTGATTGCTGGCTTGCAGGACGTTACAAAAGGAGAGCTGGCTTGCAGGACGTTACAAAACAAGAGCGACAGTACTGCAAGCAGTTTAAGATGCAGGGGATGCGAAATGGCTTTTAGTCTCGGCTGTCAAGCGTTCCCCCCTCTATGCTCGTGTGTCATGTGCCATGTGCCATGTGCCGGACCCCTTCCCGTTGGCACCATGTGCCACACCCCTTCCCGTTGGCACCATGTGCCACACCACAGGTGTGAAGGTGCAGCGGCTGGTGGAGCAGCAGGTGATGGTACCATGGACTTGTGGGTGTGGGGACAGGGCCTTAGGGCCTCAACAATTCAACTATCCCACTCCCTGCTCATGCCGCCACATCCCCTCCCTGCTCTTCTGCTGTGTACCATGTGCCACACCACAGGTGTGTGTGAAGGTGCAGTGGCTGGTGGAGCAGCAGGTGTTGGTTGACATAAACCTGTGGGTGGGGGGTGGAGGAAGGTCCTTAAGGCTTCAACGCTCAACTCCTGCCACACGCCCTCCCCTCCCTCCCACACAGGAGTGAAGGTGCAGTGGCTGGTGGAGCAGCAGGTGATGGTTGACATAAACCTGTGCGTGGGTGGGGGGAAGGGCAGGGCATCAAGGCTTCTTCAATACTCAACCTATCCCCATCCCCTCCCTGCACCCTCACAGGAGTGAAGGTGCAGCGGCTGGTGGAGCAGCAGGTGATGGTGGACATGAACTTGTGGGTGGGGGGCGGCTCATCAATCATCCTCGCCATCGCCAGCATGGGTGTCAAGATGCACGTGCAGGTGAGGGCTGGACAGGTGCACGTGCAGGTGAGGGCTGGACAGGTGCACGTGCAGGTGAGGGCTGGACAGGTGCACGTGCAGGAGAGATGAGAGGGCGTCAAGATGCACGTGCAGGAGAGCTCGTAAGACCTGTAGGGCTTACATGCAAGATGCATTCGCAAGGCGCGTGTGAGTGCCGTGAGTGGGTGGCGGTTTGTTCGACTCGCTTTCTCCTTCATCCCTGATGAATGTGCCCCTTCTGTCTTTTCACCCCCTCCCTACTTTCCCCTCCCCTCTCTTCCCCTCCTCCCCTTTCTTCCCCTCCTTCCCTCTCTTCCCCTCCCCCTCTCGCTTCCACTCCTCCCCTCTCTTCCCCTCTCTTCCCTCCCCTCTCCTCCCCTCCTCACCACACCACACCGCACTGCACCACACAGCTCAAGGACCTGGAGTTGCGGGCGAGGCTGAGGCTCATCCTGCAGCTGGGGGAGCAGCTGCCGTGCATCGATGCTGTCGTCATCTCCATCCACAAGAAGGTGCGTTGTGCCCTCCACTTGAATGCCTCCCCACCGCACTCTACCTCCTCTCTACTCACTCTACCTCTCTACTCACTCTACCTTTCTACTCACCGTACCTTTCTTCCTCAGCCGCGCATGCGCATTGGCTACAAGCTGAAGGCAATGGGGAGATTCTCAGGCACCTTCTCACCCTCTTCCCACCTTGCCACTCCTCCCCAACCCCCCCACACCCCCCCCTCCTTCCCCATAACCCTTCACCGCCTGCAGCCGCGCATGCACATATACCACAAGCTGAAGGCGATCGGGGGGTTGTCAGGCAGCTTCTCATCCTCTCCTCCCTCCCTCCCCTTTCCCAACCCCTCTTCCCCTCCCCTCCCCCCCCCCCCACCGCCGCCCCCTCCAGCCGCGCATGCGGATAGAATACAAGCTGAAGGCGATCGGGGGCCAGCTGTCGTCCATCCCGGGGCTGGCGGGGATGATAGAGAGCACGGTGCACAGCGCCATCGAGAGCACCCTCATGTGGCCTGAACGCATCGTCGTGCCGCTCGCGCCCTCGTTTGATGCCAGGTAAGACTAATGGTTCCCGGGCATAGCATAGCATGTACTGGGGATGGTAGAGAGCACCGTGCACAGCGCCACTGAGAGCACGCTCATGTGGCCCGAACGCATAGTTGTGCCACTCGCGCCCAAGTTTGACGCGAGGTGAGACTCTCGCCCATTCTTGTGAATATGATATGATATGATGTGATGTGATGTGATGTGATGTGATGTGGCGAGTGAGTGTTTCCGCCCCCTTTGCCTTCATCTGGCGATCATACCTTCCCCCCTACCTTCCCCCCTACCTTCCCCCCTACCTTCCCCCCTACCTTCCCTCCGCCCTCTACTTCCTCCCAAACCCCCCTTTTCCACTCTGCCCTATTCCTCAGCTCACTGGAAATGCACTATGAGGGTTCCCTGGTGGTGACTGCGTGGAAGGTGGAGTGGAGGGGTTAAAGAACATGGATATGATGAGCGTATCGGACCCCTTTTGCCATCCTCTCTCCCCGCCCTCCCCCACTTGCCCAATATCTGACAGTTCACTCGAGATGCATTACGGAGGTTCCCTAGTGGTTGGTAACCGCGTGGAAGGCGGAGGGGCTGAAGAACGTGGATATGAATATGACGAGCGTATCGAACCCCTTTTATACGCACTCCTCTCCTCATTCCCCCCTTCCCGGGGTCCCCGCACTCCCCTTTTCTCCCTGCCCTGTTTGTCAGCTTTCTTGAGATGCACTACGAGGGCTCACTGGTGGTAACCGCGTGGAAGGCGGAGGGATTGAAGAACGTGGATATGATGAGCGTATCGGACCCCTTTGCCATCCTGTGGACGCACGGCAAGCACAAGGCCGTCACCAGGACTATTGACAATGACCTTAACCCGGTCTGGAACGAAACTTTCGAGCTGCCCGTGGACGACATCCACACCGCAGAGCTTTTCATTCAGGTCTGTCTGCCCGCGCGCGCCCTTTACGCTGCCCTGCCCCTCACCTGATCTATCCTGCCCTCCCGCTCTCTTAGGCCTGCCCTCTGCCCTCCCAAGTAACCCCCCTCTCATGGCAACCCCCTCTCATGGCAACCCCCTCTCATGGCAACACCTGCCGTCGCATCCCCACAACCCCCAACACATCCCCAATTTCTCCCGCCCTTGTGATTCCTCAGGTGGACGATGAGGACAGCTTTGGGAGTCAGAACCTGGGGTACGCCATGTACCCTTTAGTGGGCCTCCTCGATAAGGACACAGTGCAGACGGTCACATTGACGTTGCTGCCCAAGCTTAACAACGATCGCATGTTGGGCATCGACCACAAGCTGGGGCGCATCACTCTACAGGTGAGGGAATGAACACGCCACATCACTGTGTAGGCTTTTGAGACGCCTCAAAAGCACTGCTGCCGAAGGGTAGTAACAACCGCATGTTGGGCATCGACCACAAGTTGGGTCGCATCACTCAGTAGGTTAGTGCACGTGAGTCTTAAGCACACTCCCAAAATCCTTGTGACTTACACATGACTCGCAGGGTTACAAGGCGAGTACAACTCGCATCATTTGTTACTATTGCGGAGAGTCGTTCAACATCGGGAGCTGGACTACAGGGAGGAAGTACGGGTGGTACGAGTGATCGTAGCGTTCCTTGTGTTCTCTAGAAATTGCGTGTTTACGGGGCAAAACGACAATAGTTTCATTAAAAATAGCTGAGAGTGATTGGCAATAGTAAATACAACTGGGGCCTACCAAGCCTAGCAAGCAGGCGAGTCGACCTCCAGCGCAACACGGGGGCAGCTTGCCAGCGTAGCAAGGCGGCAGCGTGCCAACACAGCTTGAACGGCTTGCCAGCACCGCAAGTCGACGACCTTCGAGCTCTACACTAAGGTGGCTTGCCAACGCTGCAACAAGGGGTCTTGTCAACGTTGCAACCGCAGGTGACTATAGGCACTTGCACTCACCAACTTCGCAAGTGCGGGTCGACGGTTGAGCATATCGTGCACCGCCACGACCGTTGCGCAGGTCCCAAGTCGGCCACGTGTCGACAGGTGCGCCAGATGCACCACGTCGACCTCAAGGTACCAGCCCGCAGGACGACTTCGTCAAAGCCTCCTGGACGACGTTCGTGCACCCCCGCAAAACTTCGTCGGCCAGGTTACACGGTCGACCAGAGAAGGCCGCTGACATCCATAAGTCGGCATTCCCCAAGTCGGTGTTATGTCAAACACCTTCGTCGGCCGCCGACTTCACCTCGTCGACCATGTGGTCGACTTTTTTCTAAGCCGACTTGATCCTCCTAGTTAGCATTGACCAGGAAGTCTGCTTCACCCAAGTCGGCTAGACAGCTCCGTTGAAGTCAGTTCCATGGAGGTCGGCCAACAAAGCCGACTTGCTCTTTCAATTCAACGCCGACGACGAAGCCTTGCCGGCTGCACACCATGCACGTCAATTAGTGACGTCGGCTTCGCCCAAACGAGGGCGGGGCCAAATCTCCGATCAACAACTATGACTCGCATCGTTTGTTCCGGTTTCGCACCTCAGCTCACAACCCCTTCCCTCCACCCCAGACCATGGGAGATGGTATATTGGAGTTACACGCTGGAGGAGAAGGTGCAGGTGACAGTTGTGGAAAAGGCCGGGGGCCCAAGGCCAGTGATTCAATGGCTATGCTTCTTCTATAATAAGCGCCCTTCCCCCTCCGCCCTTCCCCCCTTCTCCCTCCCTGTTGCATGAGTGCAGATGGTATACCGCAGCTACACGCCAGAGGAGAAGGTGCAGGTGACCGCAGCGGAGAAGGCTTGAGACCCCATGCCCCCTTCCTCCCTCCCTCTCTCCTCTTGCTCTAACAGATGGTATACCGCAGCTACACGCCAGAGGAGAAGGTGCAGGTGACAGCAGCGGAGAAGGCTCGGGACCCCAAGGTGCGAGACTGCCCACTCGACCCTGTCGCCGCCCAGCGTGTCTTCGCTGCCGCCCTCCTCTCCGCCCGCCACCGCAAGCTTTCCGCCGCCTCCGCCTCTCAAGGCAAGCGGGATGTCCGCTTCTCGGCCCAGTCTGGTGAAGGGGATGGTGCGGCGGAGGGGGAGGGGCATGGGAGTGTGTTGGGGGGAGGGGAAGGGGGTGGAGGGAGTGGGAAGGGGGAGAAGGGTGGAGGGGGTAGCTGGTGGTGGTCGTGGTTGTCGTGGTTGCTTGGTGGTGGTGGGAAGGCAGGGAGCGGAGCCGATGGTGGTGGTGGTGCTTCTGGTGGTGATGGGCCTGGTAGCGGCTTCCGCAGTGGCTTTGCAGACGCAGCCGCTGCTGCTGTTGCTGAGGCTGCTGCTGCTGAGGCTGCTGAGGCTGAGGCTGCTGAGGCTGCTACTGCAGAGGAGGAGGAAACTGAGGATGGGGATGCGGATGCTGATTATGGTGACGGCAGCAGCAGCAAAGCTAAGGATGGTGGAGCGGTGGGGGGGAGGAGTAGCAACAGTGGCAATATTAGCCAGGCACTAGGTAGGCGGATGAAAAAGGGTGAGGGCCAGAGCAGTGGGAAGTTCATGTGGGGATCACTCAAGGGGTGGACAGGCGGGCAGAAGGCAAAAACGAGGAGAAAGAGCGGTGAAGGGGGGTGGGACGTGGTGGCAGATAAAATGGTGGAGTCAGCAAGAGGGCGGGAGCTTAAGAGGAGCTTCCAGGTGTCAAGGGAGAGTAGGAGGGAGGGAGGAGGAGAGGAGTGGGAGGATGAGGATTGGGAGGATGAGGAGGAGGAGGATGAGGAGGAGGATGAGGAAGAAGAGTCTTCTTGCGTGGAAAACGGAGAGGAGGGTGAAAGAGTGATGGACGATGGGGAGAGTGTGGGAGAGGAGAATCTTCGTGCTGGTAGGCTAGGTGCAGGTTCAGAGGGGGGCGATCAGGAGGATAGAGAGGTGGAGAGGGAGAAGACGATAAACCCCGAGCCCTCAATAGAGGGATGCGCTCTGCAGGAGAGTTTAAGGGAGGAGGGAGATGGAAGTGGGGGAGAGAGAGGTGCAGGAGAAGGGAGGATGAATGGGGAGATGGAGGCGGAAGGTGAGGGAGAAGGTGCAGAAGGTGCGGCAGGTGCCAGTGGTGGTGCAGGGGCGAGTGGCAGGGACGGGCAGGGGAGGGGTGTGGGTGCGGTGTCAAGGAAGAGAGAGGTGAGGCGATTGCTGCTGGGAGCGATGCTGGCGCGGAAAAACATTCCCGAGGCTGCACGCTCTCGCACTCGCTCTGCTGACGCTGCTGATGCTGGCGCTGGTGGTGATGCTGCCGATGCTGCCAATGCTGCTCTTACTAAGGCTGCTGATGCTGGCTCTTCTGCTGATGGTGCTGGCGCTGGTGATGGTGGTGACGGTGGTGATGGTGGTGGTGATGATGGTGGTGGTGGTTTGCGGAGTGGGCATGATGGGGAGGGCGGTGGGGTGGGCATGAGCCTCGGTGTTGGTGGGTGGACTGCGGTGATGGACGGTGTGGTGGAGTTGGTGGAAGAGCAAGAGCGAGAGCTCAAGCGTAGCCTGCAGGTGTCGAGGAGATGGCGGTTTGGAAGTTTAGGAGGAGAGGAGGAGGGGAAAGAAGAGGAGGATGGAGAAGAGGCAGGAGGAGCGGTGGGCTCTTTGTGTGAGAACAACAAGGAGGAATCAGGAGGAGGGATGGCCGATGGGCAGGCCAGCAAGGTCAGAGGTGCGGTGAGAAAGAGGGAGCTGAGGAGTTTGCTGCTTGGAGCACTATTGGAGAGAAAGGACAGCCCTCGGGGAATACAAGCTAGTGGGGACCTAGCTGCTGGTGATGCTGGCAGCGGCCGTGCCAGTGCCAGTGCCATTGGTGCTGGTGCTGGTGCTGGTAGTGGCAGTGGCAGGAGCGGGGAGGGAAAGGGGCTGAGGCGAAGGTGGGGCACACTGATAGAGTCCTCTCAGTCTTCCACTCCTTGCTCTGCCGCTGCTGCTGCCGCTGTTGCCAGTACTGCCGATGCTCCTGTTGTTGCCGGTGCTGCCGGTGCTTCTGTTGTTACCGGTGCTGCCGGTGCTGCTGCTGCTATTGCAGCAGCTATTGCGGCTGCAAGGGATCGAAGGGTCGCCTCTTCCTCCACTGCTGCTACAGCTGCTTTGTTAGGGAGTGCTAGGAGGAGTGATACCTCTCCTGCTTCCACACTAGGGAATGCGAGTGCTGATAAGCTTTCCAACGTGGTAGCTGCTGAGAGTGCTGCCGGGGGTGCTGTGGGAAGGAAGTCGTTTGGTGGGATGGCACGGGCGGTTGATACGGGTCGAGCATTCAGCCAGGCTTTAAGCATTCTTTCGGATAGGAAGCTGCCTGGAAAGGGGCTGGGAGGGAAGAGTCTTGCTGCTGTAAGGCGCGTGGGTGGAGGGCACACGCGCAGTAAGACGGCTGGGGAAGTGATCTGCCTGGATGCAGATGAAACAGTGGTGGAGGGAGATGAAACGGTGGTGGTGGGAGATGAAATGGTGGTGGTGGGAGATGAAATGGTGGTGGAGGGGGGTAGAACGGTGCAGGAGGGAGATGAAACGCGCGGGTGTGGCAGCGATGGGAAGAGGGAGGTGACTTTTGAGTCGACTCAAAAGGTGCATGGTGGATTTGGTAGCAAGGCAAAGAGCTTTGCTGCTCTGGAAGATGCACTTGCAGGAGAGAGGGCGATGGAGGGAGATGGGGAGGCTGAGTGTGATACGGCATGGGAAGTATGTGTGCCTGTGACGAGTGTGCCTGTGACGAGTGTGCCTGTGGGTGGGAACGTGGGGGAGGGAGTGAGGGAGGGAGTGAGGGAGTGCAAGGAAGCGAAGGGATGCGGGCCAGGGGCGTGTGATGAGGGCGGTGGTGAGATTGGGAGGAGAGTCGAGAGCTCAGAGCTGGGTGGGTGCAGAGAGGTTAGTGGCGGTGCTGACTGTGCTGGGGCAAGGGAGCAGGTAGGAAGTGATGCTGCGTTGAGAGAGGGGAGAGAGAGGTGTGGGGAGGAAGAGAGCATTGGGGAGCGGGAGAGGAGTGGAGAGGGGACGGATGAGCATATGAGGGAGGGCGGTGGAGGTGAGGGAAGGGGCGAGGATGATCTGAGGGGTGAGAGACATGAGAGTGGGGAGAGAGGACTGAGACATGAAAGAGAGGAGAGCGCTGAAAGAGATGAAAGAGGTGAAAGAGATGAGGGAGACAAGCGAGCGGAGCGAGGGATGGAGGATGAAGAAGAGAACGGGAGGCGTGAAGGAGAGGACAGAGGAGGGAGTGGGGGAGAGGGCAGCATAAATGAGTCGATCAGAAGCCGTGCAGGTGAATCAGCGGGGCTGGCAGAGACAGAGGAGAGCAGAGAAGGGGAGAGTGGAGAAGGGGAGAGTGTAGAAGGGGAGAGTGGAGAAGGGGAGAGCAGAGGGGAGGAGAGCAGAGAAGGGGATGGTGGAGAAGGGGAGAGGGGAGAGCAGATGGGGTTGAGCATGGAAAGAGCCTCTGCAGCTGATTCTTTGCATGCTCTGCATTCATCAACTGCATGCTCTGCAGTGTCGGGTGCTGCTAACAGACATGTTTCAGCGGGGAGCAAGGAAGGTAGGGAATTTCCTGGCGGGAGAGAAGGAATGGGGGATGATGACACAGCGATGAGTGAAAGTGCAACTAACACGTGGCATCAAGGAGATGAAACTCTCGTGCAAGGAGATGAAACTCTTGAGCAAGGGGATGAAGGTTGGAGGGAGGGAGATGTGCTTATGGCAGCGGGGGCTGCGGACTGTGTGGGGGAGGTGGGGGTGCAGGGAGTAGCAGGGGAGCACACAGAACGCAGTGCGATTGCGGATGGTTTACATGCTTGGAGAGAGCAGGGCGATGGGGAGATGGGTGACGGAGGACAGTTGGATGGAGGTAGAAGAGGAGGAGAGGAAGAGAGAAGAGGAGGAGAGGAAGAGAGAAGAGGAGGAGAGGAAGAGAGAAGAGGAGGAGAGGAAGAGAGAAGAGGAGGAGAGGAAGAGAGAAGAGGAGGAGAGGAAGAGAGAAGAGGAGGAGAGGAAGAGAGAAGAGGAGGAGAGGAAGAGAGAAGAGGAGGAGAGGAAGAGAGAAGAGGAGGAGAGGAAGAGAGAAGAGGAGGAGAGGAAGAGAGAAGAGGAGGAGAGGAAGAGAGAAGAGGAGGAGAGGAAGAGAGAAGAGGAGGAGAGGAAGAGAGAAGAGGAGGAGAGGAAGAGAGAAGAGGAGGAGAGGAAGAGAGAAGAGGAGGAGAGGAAGAGAGAAGAGGAGGAGAGGAAGAGAGAAGAGGAGGAGAGGAAGAGAGAAGAGGAGGAGAGGAAGAGAGAAGAGGAGGAGAGGAAGAGAGAAGAGGAGGAGAGGAAGAGAGAAGAGGAGGAGAGGAAGAGAGAAGAGGAGGAGAGGAAGAGAGAAGAGGAGGAGAGGAAGAGAGAAGAGGAGGAGAGGAAGAGAGAAGAGGAGGAGAGGAAGAGAGAAGAGGAGGAGAGGAAGAGAGAAGAGGAGGAGAGGAAGAGAGAAGAGGAGGAGAGGAAGAGAGAAGAGGAGGAGAGGAAGAGAGAAGAGGAGGAGAGGAAGAGAGAAGAGGAGGAGAGGAAGAGAGAAGAGGAGGAGAGGAAGAGAGAAGAGGAGGAGAGGAAGAGAGAAGAGGAGGAGAGGAAGAGAGAAGAGGAGGAGAGGAAGAGAGAAGAGGAGGAGAGGAAGAGAGAAGAGGAGGAGAGGAAGAGAGAAGAGGAGGAGAGGAAGAGAGAAGAGGAGGAGAGGAAGAGAGAAGAGGAGGAGAGGAAGAGAGAAGAGGAGGAGAGGAAGAGAGAAGAGGAGGAGAGGAAGAGAGAAGAGGAGGAGAGGAAGAGAGAAGAGGAGGAGAGGAAGAGAGAAGAGGAGGAGAGGAAGAGAGAAGAGGAGGAGAGGAAGAGAGAAGAGGAGGAGAGGAAGAGAGAAGAGGAGGAGAGGAAGAGAGAAGAGGAGGGGGGCAGGAGGAAGAGAGAAGAGGTGGAGAGCAGGAGGACGAGAGAAGAGGAAGTGAGCAGGGTGAAGAGAGAAGAGGAGGAGAACTGGAGGAAGAGAGGATAGGAGGAGAGCAGGGGGGAGAAGGAAGAAGAGACGAGGAGCCCATTGGGCAGAACAGGCGACTCAAGGAGGGAGCAGCAGAGAAGGGGGCTGCAGCGGAAGGAGCAGCAGCAGAGGGACCAGCAGCAGAGGCTGGAGGGAAGGAGGGTGTAGGAGAAGAGGTGGGAGGGGAGAAGGGGGAGGGAGAGGGCGGGCGAGGAGAGGTGGGGGGAGGAGAGGAGGCGGATACGCTGGCAGTGAGCGGGCCCCAACAGAGCCCTGCTGCGCGGGGGTGGGGTGGAGCATGGCTGGGCGCTGCTGTGCACGTGAGTCGAGTCGCGGGCAAGGCGATCCGTCGCACCCCTGCCTCTGTTGCTGCAGCCGCTGCTGCTGCCCCTGGGTTTGGGCCTGGAAGGAAATCTGGAAAGAAGTTGTTGGATGGTGGGAGGAAGGAGGAGGTAGGGCATGAGGAGGAGCAGGTAGCTGGGCAGGCTGTTGAGGTGTCTGAGAAGGCGGTTGGCCAAGCTGGAAAGGATGAGGAAGAGTGGAAAGACGCGCCATTCTCTTTCACTGCTCCTTCGTGGTCTTTTTCTGCTGCGCCTGATCTTCCTCCTTCTTTTGCTGACCCAAGCCTTAAAGCTGCAGCGTCTTCAGTGCCTACAGCACCAGCGCCAGAAGCAACAGCACCAGCAGCACCAGCAGCAGCTGCTGCAGCAGCATCACCAGCACTACCAACAGCAGCAGAAGCAGGGGCAGCAGTAGCAGGGAGTGCAGAAGCAGCAGGGGCAGCAGCGGCAGGAGAGCAACAGCAGGAGAGGGTGAAGCCACCAGCCATCCCCATCCCCATCCCAGTGCGCACAGCAGCAGGCATGGACCTCGTCTCCTCTTCCCGCACCCCCTCCTCCTCCTCCTTCAACAGGGTTACCTTCTCCACCCTCCCTTCCCCCCGCTTCATCAGCAAGTTTCTGGGATCCGCCAGCCCGGGTTTATCCAGTCAATCAAGTCAACCCAGTCAACCCAGTCAAGGCAGTCAAGCCAGTCAAGGCAGTCAGCGCAGCTCTGGTCAGTCGAGTCAACTCAGTCCCAGTCTTCTGAGTCCTTATCAGTCCAGTTCCAGTCAAGACATGGACTCCAGTCAGTTGGATCGGTCTGACTCTGAGCCGCGTCAGCTCAGCCGTCACTACACAGAGCCTAATAAGGCCAGTCGTCACTACACCGATCCTAGTCAGCACAACCGCCCTCTTGGGGCGAATCGGCGAACCAAGTCGTTTGAAGATCTAGAAGATTCCGAGTTGGGCAATATGGGGGATGAATCAGGGCCGTTGGATGCAGAAGACATCCGTGTCCACTCGAAATCGGCTCGTCAGCAATCGCGGAGCAACGGGTCAGCTTCGGAAAGGGTAGGCGTGACACAGTCAGATCCCGAGAACTTGGACTCTAGCTGCATAGGCTCGGAGAGAAGCGCCTCGGGAATGTCCAGCTTTATTGGCTCTTCCAGCCCTTATGAGGACATCCCAGGGGGGAAGGCTTTGAACAAAGGGAAGGGGAAGGGTGGAGCGTGGGCATTTGCTAAGAATGTGAAGAATGTGGGGCGGGCGCTTAGAGGTATGAAGGGCGGCACCAAGTGTGTTTACTCTCCGGAGGAGTTGCGGGATCGGTTGGATGATAGGCGAGAGGAGATGGAGAGGATGGCTGAGATGGAGGGTAAGCGTGCAAATGCAGATATGGATTTGGATTGAGCTAGTTAGCTGGTTGATAAGGAAATCCGGTTGCAAAATTGGGTACTACGGTACATGGAGGAAGTTAGTTCTTCTTGATGTATTGTTCTTGTGGTTAGGCACTTTTCGTGTTTAACCTTTTACCGTATATACGTACCTGCGTTACATTGTGTTGTGTTATCCACCCAAATACTGACTTCACTATTACGTTGTTGCTAGTGAGATTTCCTAATGTGGGTTGCTAAAGATTTTTTCACACTGCAACGCATGAGACATGGTATGGTGATTTCCGGTGCCAACTAGGCGGTTGACAGCCACATTCGTTTGAGGGTGTCGCATGAGAGATGGAGATAAGAATGCTGAAGTGTGACATTTCGTAGACTATTCTGGGTTTTCATTCTGCTTTGTGGCAGTGTTCCATGACGATACAGAGTATCTGCTTTGCAATGTGTTCAAATCTCACCTTTTGAAGTTCTCCACAAAAGGGGACAAACCCAGCACAAGAAACTCCCAGAAACTACCCTGCACTGTTCGCATACTTCTGGCGTCGCAAGTGTCGCATCAGCCTTCCTGGAGAGTTTGAATCTGTGGGAATGGAAGTCACTCGTTCGCGAATGGTGCTTGCGAAATTCAGGTGAGTTTGAAAATGTTCGCCTCCTGGTCCTCGCTTCCTTTCTGCCGCAAGTCAGCACTACCTTCTCGGAGTACTGTAGAACCGAATTGAAACGTTCCCAAACTAGCCGAACCCAGAATGTGGAGAGAAGAATTCAAGCAGAAACAGAAGACTTGATCAGATTCCGAAATTCCTTGATTCTTCAGGAGTCATGAACGCGCAGTGGGCTGATAGTCCACAATTACCACATCTGCGACTTATTCCCACGACGCGGCGCGACAATGATATTCTTCTTCCGCGGCGCTCTTGTTAACCGTAGTGCCATGCTCACGCCCTGGGAAGTGGGCTGACGCAGCCTTGCGTCGCGAATCGCGATCGTGAGGCGCCATGCCCTGCCACTGTCGTCCTAGCGTCGAGATTCGCTACTATAAAGCCTTTCGATAGACCGCAGCATCAGCATGCTTCAGTCTTCTAGAAGTCGACTACCCTAATCTTACCTGGCCCAAGCATCACCACTTCAGGGATTCCCTCTTCTAATTCCTTCATCTGACCGCTTGCTGCCAGAAGCACCATTCGGATCGATCGCCGTTCTTATATTTGATAGTTGTATCACCGCTCTTTCGTGATTGTTCCCTTAAGAGCCTTCCTCGACGCCGTCATGTCTCGAGCGTTTCTCCTCCTCCTCGCGCTATCCGCGTTATTAGCAGCAGCCGCCGGCGTCGCTGCTGCGACGAAGCCCCCCCGCTCAGGCGGGGTCGCTCTGCGCGGCGGCGACGGCAGCGTGACCGGCGGGACGGCAACAGCAGGCGGGCGCGGCGGCAGCGGTGGTCCGCACGCCGTTTCGCACGGCGATTCGCGGCACGGCGGGATTCCCGGCGGCGGGAGTGACGAGGAGAGGGAGGACGGCGACGGAGGCCACGGCGGGCATGGCGGCCGGGGGCACGGGGATGTTGGTGGTAGCAGTAGCCATGGCGGCGGGCTGTGCGGGCGGGGCGGGTGCAGCAACGACGCAGGCGAAGTGGGGTACTGGAAGCTGCCCGACTATGGCCGCTGCAGCATTGACACCAGCAGCACCAGCAGCAGCAGTGGTGGTGCGCCGCGGAAGGCAAACGAGGCGTGGTGTGCGGGGGCGGCTATGGGCGTGAGGGAGTGCTGCAGCCGATGCAGTAGCACCAACGTTACCGCCGATGGCACTCCCTTCAACTGTCTCCACTGGGTGCACATTCCGTAAGTACCTCCCGTTCCATCCACCTGCCACCTTGCTTCTTTAGCTGCACGCCTCTTGGTTCTTCCCAAAAAGTCTTCCTTCTGACTGCCAGCTTGCCTGGTTTGCTATACAATTTCTGAACAAGTTAGCATTTTTCAGGTGCGCATTTCGACGTTCCTCCCCCTCATCTCTCTCAACCTCTCCTGTTTCACATTTCTTGCCCCAGATCTCCTGACTCTCACGACCGCCGCAGCAGCGAGCAGCGCGGCAAGTGCGTCCTCATCCCGGCCGTGGACACTCTCACGCCCGAGAGGGCCCGCAAGGGGCGCTGCGGCACCAACACGGGCGGTGACACGGTGCGCGTGGGGCGGCGGTGCGCTTGTGGCGAGAATGACCCGCACTTCCTGGGCGCGCACGGCACGCGGTTTGACTTCAACGGGCTGCCAGACCGCTCCTGCCTCTACACTGACCGCCGCGTGCACATCAACATGGCCATGCGTGGGTATCTGGACGAGCGCCCGCTTGCGCTTGCGCGCGCACCCACCGCTGCTGCTGCTGCTGGTAACCGTAGCGCGCTGGCTGCCGCCCGGTTTGTCAACGGCTCGGCGGTTCGCACGTGGATCCGACAGCTGGCGATCATGTGGCACGACGGCGAGAGCAGCAACAGCAGCAACAGCAGCAGCAGCAGCAGCAGCAGCAGCAGCAGCAGCGTCACTAGTGCAAACGTTAATGCGTCGTCTCATTCTCTCGTGCTCACAGCACGGGACGGCAAGGAGCAGACTCGCGGCGCTCAAGGCTTCCTTGCATCCGCCACTCTTGACGGCAAGCCTCTCCCACGCCTCACCCTTGGCAAGAGCCACGTTCTCTCCAATGGGCGGCTGGTTCTGTCCTTTGTGGGCCAGGAGAAGACCGGCCCGTTCGACGTGGACGTGTACACCCTCCGCCTGGAAAATCTCCTGGAGCTCGAGCTGAAGCTGCGCGCGGCGCACCCTCTGTTGCAAACACCTGAGGACGCGCAGGTGCACATCAACCTGATGTTTGTGGACTCGAATCCGAGCAGGCAGGTGCACGGGGTGATGGGGCAGACGTACCGCAGCGGCAGGGAGCAGAGGACGATGGAGTTTTCGAGGCTTGCGGCTCTGCTGCACCACCCTGTGTCAGTGGATGGTGAGGAGGGGAAGGGGTTTCTGGATGGGGAGGTGGGGGATTATGAGACGTCGGGCGTGACTGCTACTGACTGCAGGTTCACGGCTTTCAATGGCGGCCAGCTGCCTCGGCTGGCAGAGGAATGAGGAGAAAGGCACGAAATGGGAGGGTACTCACTCATCTTGCTGCTATGACTTGGCTCTTGATCTTCCAGCCAGCCACATGCCTCATTTCTGCTTCGCTTCCCTTTCTGACCTTTCAGAGCTAGGGTGTTGTTGTAACCTGGTGGTATGTTTTTTGAGAATTCTCAAAAAACATTTGTTGTAACCTGGTGGTATTTTGAATTCCTGTATGATGCACTGCCATGTACGGTTTATTATCAGTGGTATCCCCATGTGTTGAAAGTTCCGCAGGTCTATTGACATGATTATCAGAACTAGTGATACAGTCTAATAAGACGAACAAAGGAAATACCGGAAGTTGCAAGGCATCCTAGCTAGAATGGTAACAGGGCGTAGGACTATAGGGGGGCGTATACACAATTGACTTTCTGGCGAGTTCCGCCGCACGATATGCGACCAAGTCTGCAGCATGTAAGATGGTGACCGAATCTGCGGCATGGTAGGTGACGGATTTTTCAGCACGTTAGGTTGGCGGAACTTGCAGCACGAAGGACCGTCAGTTGTGGTTGCGGTATAGATGAAGGCGAGTGGGCGAGGGGCAAATGGAGGCGGAATTTGGCGCAGCGATGAAGCTGGCGAAGAAGGCGAAGTAGGCTGTCTTGGCGAATGGCAACGAAATCGGGAAGGAGGGTTACCAGTCGGGGAAGGACATCCAGATACTGGCGCTGATGGGGGGCCGGAGCGGGAAAAGCGCGAGATAGACAATGCAGAAGCAGAAGGGGGCGACGGCGGCGGAGGAGGGAGAGAGGCATCCGAAGCAACAGGAGGGCTCGAGGGGAAGTCAGCTGATGACGTCCCCGTATCCGCGGATGACGTTGGAATTCCATCGGATGACGACACGATGTCAGTGGATGACGTCATGACTCTCCTGTTCTCCCAGGACCCCCTACTGGCCCGCGCTGCTGCCGTCACTCTCAGCCACGCCCTGCTGTCGCCCGCCCTCTCTGTACGTAGTTAAAGGTGTGTTTTGAGTCGACTCAAAACAAACCACGCCCTGCTGTCGCCCGCCCTCTCTGTACGTAGTTAAAGGCCACCTTTTTAACTCAGTCAGCAAAAGTCAAGCAAAGTCAACGACGTCACCTACACTCAGGGTAGCCCTGCTCTTGCCCGCCATAGATTCTCAAGGAGCTGCAGAAGTGGCCCTTAGCACTTCTTGACTATGCAGTGCTCTTGACTATGCAGTGCTCTTGACTATGCAGTGCTCTTGACTACGCCATAGATTCCCATGCAGGCATCGTTCTTGAGCAACTTAGCCTGTGTATTTGAGGCAGGACTCCCTTATAAGTCAGGTCCAAATATATTGGTGTTACTTTTGAGAATTCCCAAAAGTAACACCAGGTCCACTCTGACATGCCCTTGGGGTTACCTTTTGATGCACCTTCCCGCTCCTTCCCTCCGTCTGCTGGAGTATCTTTCGCGGTGTCTGAAGATTTTGCACCCAATCCGTCATTCGAACTTCCATTCTCAGGTTTGATGTTTGATTCGACCTAGACCATCCGTTGTTTGTTTTTACAGCAGCCCATTTTCGTCCACTCGTCCTTGCGTCCCCCACCCTCTCATCACTCCCCAATTCGCACCTCTCTCTATCCCCAAACCCCCCTCCGTCCCCCTTGCATGCAGGGCAGCACGCAGCAGCAGCAGTGGTAACCCGTTGCTGGCAGGCCACAGTTGCTGCTGTCGTTGCTGCCGCCACTACCCCTGCTGCCCCTGCCTCTGCTCCTGCCCTTGCCAGGGCCTCTACTGCCGCTGCCAATGCTGCCTGTGCTGCTTCTGCTGCCAGTTTCTCCCCCACCCGACGCTGCTCCCCTTCCCCTGCTCTGCGATTCCTGCTACTCCGCGCCTCTCCTCCTGCCTGCCCTCCCTCACCTGTGCTTTCCAAGCCAACTCCAAGGTCCCCTCGTGCCTGCCCGCCCGCTGTGCCAACTAAAGGAGAGGGAGCGACCGTCGAGGGCAGCAGCAATACTGGTTTGACGATTGAGCCTCTTCCCTGCACTGCTCTTCGCTCGAGTACCATCGTGCCTCTGCCCCGTTTTCCCTCTAATTCCACTCCCAACCCAACGTGCCTGGGCCGAGTGCTGCTGTGGTCAATTCCACTCCCAACGGTCACGTGCCCTGTGCTGCTCTCTCTCTCTTCCACTCTCTGCTCAAACGCCGCCCGCACTCCCCACCCCGCTCCACCCTCCGCCTCTTTCCTGCGCGCCTCTCCGCCCTTGCCCAAGCGGCCGCCCTCGCTCTCCTGCACGCCACACCATGGCCTCCCCTCTCTCGCCTCTTAGCCTCCTCTTCTGCGGACTCCAGGTCCCGCTCCTTGCTGCTGCTGCAGGGGCGGCAGGGGCAGCAGTGGGAGCAGGGGCAGTCGTTGGAGCAGCAGCAGGAGGGACATACTGGGAAACAACAGGTCTTGGAAGCAGCAGGAGCAGCAGCAGCGGAACGGGCAAGAGCAGCAGCAGCAGCAGCAGCAGCAGCAGAGCTGGCGGCGGGATGGTTGACTCGCCTGCTGTCCGCCTGTGTCAGCACCGTCGCCAACAGCAATGGCTTCAGCAGCAGTGAAAATCCTGGCACCAGAAGCAATAGAGGCGATGGCGAGGTTGCTGATGTCAGCAGCAGGCAGGGTGACGACACCACCACCAGTGAGAGGGACGGTGAGCGCAGCAGCAGCAAGGGGAGGAGCGCAGATTGTGCTGAGCGTGTGCTGATGGGGGTGCGCGTTGAGGCGACGGATGGGGCGTCTTCATCCGGTGATGAGGCGATGTTAGAGGCGTCTTCTTCTGTGCAAAGCGTGCTGGCAGTGGTGCACACATGGGTATCTCACTGCCTCCTCCCCATGCTCGTCCATGCCCCATTGAGTTCTCCTGTTGGCTCGTACCCTCCCGGTCCCAGTCACTCCACGTACCTTCACCATAAATCTCTGGTAAGGCCTCAACCGCCCACCATTCTACCCACACACGCACCTCCCCTTCGCTCTCTTTCCTGCTCTCCCTGGCCCACTTCTCTCCCCCCTCTTTTAGAAGCAAGCAAGCAGTACGGGTTGCTCCTCCCAGGAAGGGCAGCCCGTGTTGTGATTGTGACCCTGCAATGTACATACGTCCTTGTCAGTCTGTATTTGCGACAAACCTGTTGAGTTTTCAAACCTCTCACCTGTTGTCATTAAACCTCTGCCTTCACCACTTACTCTACCCCTTCACTCTCACACCCTCTCCTCTCTCCTCTCCTCCCACGCCCCGAAGCCTTCTTTCAGAAGCTGTTGCTCCGGTGCGCACCTCTCCTTCCCTCTCACCCCCCTCTCTCTCACACCATCATCACCTACCTCTCCGCCCTCCTCCCCCTCACACTCTCTCTCACCACTTCTCGACCCGCAACCCCCTGCTGGGTTTTCTACTCTGCTAGACCAAACTCCACAGCCCATGCTGCTCCCACTGCTCCCGCTACTCCTCCTCCTGCTGCTGCGGCTTCTCCTCCCGGTGCTCCTGCTGCTCCTCCTGCTTCTCCTGCTGTCCCTGTTGCTGCTACTGCCGGTTCATCCGCTGCAGCTCACTTGCTGCGTCTGCCTGCAGCTGCTGCTTCTCCTCCGCACCACGCACTTTCTCCTCTCCTCGCTCCACCACTTATCAAACAAGGGTTGGAAGAATGGGGCTGGGATGGGAGGGGCAAGAACGAATGGGGAAGAAGGAGGGGTGGGTAAAGAAGGAATGGGAGCAGGAGGGGATGGTGTTACTGACAATGGCAGTGGCAGTGTCAATGAAAGCGGAACGGTGGGAGAAGTAGCAGTGGAAGGGGAGGGTGTGGTGTGGAAGTCTTTGGAGCTGCTGCAGGGAGGCATGGCAGCAGGTAGGTCGTTGAGAATTCTCAAAAACCAGGTTGTACTGTGCCTTTAAGAAGGGTGCTTTCTCTCATGCATGTGTACATAGATGATTGTCTCCTAAAGCTGTCGTCTCAATCAGTAAACTTTCGAGTCGATTTAAAAGGCATGGCAGAAGGTGAATGGTACAGTTTCTTTAATGACTGACCACACAGGGCGAGTCCTTGCAGTGGTATTGCCACGTGCCCCAAACTACCACTTGCAAGGGCGCTTCTGTACATTTCCAGCTTTCTGGAACATATAATCTCAATCAGTAATCTTAATTATATATATATATATATATATATATTGTCCACCTTTCTTGCCATGACCCCCACCCTCACGTGTACGCTCCCTGCAGCTGCTTTCCTCGCAACCCCTCACTCTTGGAAGACATCAGCATCAGCATCGTCTGGCATGGTGGCATGCCCATCGCACCTGTCTCTGCCTCCTATTGTGGACCTGCTTTCGCACGAGGTCAGCATGAGGACTTGCACCCTCCCGCCCTTCACTTATCCTCACTTGCACCCTCTCTGCAGCTGCTTTGCTCACAAATCCTCATTGTAAAACAGCATCATGGGGCATGGGGGCATGCCCATCGCACCTGTCACTGCCTCCCATTGTGGACCTGCTCTTGTACGAGGTCAGCACGGGGGCCTGCCTTGACTCACCTTCAGTTGAATTGACTAACCGTACCCCTTTAGCACAGAACGATGCTCTTTGCAATCGGGATCAGTGAAGTGTCGATATGAACTGCCAACACTGTTGAGAGATTCTGTCTAGACGGCTGCTGGACAGCTCTCCCCACCCACCTTTCCCCATCCCACCAACCACAGGATGATGTGAATTTTGAGAATTCTCAAAAGTCGCTCCAATACAGCTTTCCCCACCCACCTTTCCCCATCCCACCAACCACAGGATGATGTGTTGCTGGACGGATTGTCACTCCTCGCCTCCATATCAAATCAAATCAAACGCCTCTCCAACCAATCGAGAGGCTTAGCAGCTGTGGCAACACAAGAGCCAGAAGTGCCTGTAGCGGGTGCTGCTATGATTCCAGTAGCGGCACCGGCATTGGTCGCAGAAGATCGGGCAGAACAAGCAGAACGGGCAGCTCGGGCAGCAGAAAGGGCAGTAGAACGGGCAGCACAAGCAGCAGAGGCAGCAGCATCTACGGAGGGGGACATCTTGCAGGGGTGGTGGGAGACATTGAGGGAGGGGGATATCCTGGTGTGTTGGTTGCAGCAGATGGGCTTCGATGCCACGGCTGTTGTTGACCTTCTCATGCAGCCCGCCACTGCTCCCTCCTGCCTTCGCCTGCTGCTGCTGTGAGTGCTGTCTGCTGCTGTGATAGTTGCTGCTATGCTGTGAGTATGTGCTGTGAGTATTGAGCACGGCCCATCTGCTGCTGTGATAGTTGCTGCTATGCTGTGAGTATGTGCTGTGAGTATTGAGCACGGCCCATCTGCTGCTGTGAGTGCCGTGCTCTCGCGTGTTGGTTGCAGCAGATGGGGTGTGATGCCACGGCTGTTGTTGATCTGCTCATGCAGCCCGCCACTGCTCCCTCCTGCATTCGCCTGCTGCTGCTGTGAGTGTTGCTGTGACTGTGAGTTCTGCTGCTATGAGTGCTGCTGTTATAAGTGCTGTTGTGGCTGCTACTTGTGCGACTAGCTAGCACTATGTGGTATGAGTGTGAACATCACATGCGTGTACTGCTCCTATACCTGGCTTCCGCGCAAGGTTCCTGTCCCATCCACGCCCCACCCTAACCCTCCTCACTTCACCCTCCCTCCCGCCCTCTCTTCCCCGCTGCTGCCTCCCATTCTTCCCACTCGTTCTCCCACAGGTGCCTGCCTGCAGCAGCTGCCACGTGGAAGCACATGATTGGCCGTGCACTTTGGCTGCAATGTGTGGGTTCAGCGTCAAGGGAAATGAAAAAACAGTCGGAAAATGGAAGGGAGAGGAGGCGGAGAGACCAGAAAGGAGGGAGTGTTGGAGAGGAATGGAGTGAAGGCGAGGGGGAGGGTCAAGGAACGAGTGAGAGTGAGGGAGAAGAATGTAGGAGAGGGGCGGAGGAAGAGGAAGGGGTGAGTGCTGAGGAGGAGTGCAGCAGTGAGGGAGAGGAAGAGGAAGGCAGTGAAGGGCGGGAGGAGCCTAGCAGTGAGGAAGAGGAAGTGGGAGAGGAAGTGGGAGAGGAAGTGGGAGAGGAAATGGGAGAGGAAGTGGGAGAGGAAGTGGGAGAGGAAGTGGGAGAGGAAGTGGGAGAGGAAGTGGGAGAGGAAGAGGGAGAAAAAGAGGGAGAGAGCATTCGAAAAACGTTCAAGCGGCAGCTGGAGGAACAGGTGGAGGGGAGGGAACGGATGAGGAAGAGTAGGGTGGAGAGATTGGGGTGTGGTGGTGGTGACGAGGAATGGTGGCCGCTTGATATGACTGATGGTTGGAGGAAGGAAGGGAGGGAAAGGGGGGGAGAGGACGAGGAAGAGGGAGGAGAGCAGAATGACAGGGAAGATGAGGAAGAGGAGGAAGGAGGAGACGAGGAAGGAGAGGAGAACCAGGAGGAAGAGGAAGGAGAGGAGGAAGAGGAGGGAGAAGGAGTGAATGATGATGACATGAAAGTGGATCAGATGGAGCTGACAGATTCTGCTGTAGTAGTCACACCGTCTACAGTCGCGTGCTCCCCAGCAGGAGTATCACAATCCGCAGTGGTGGATTCTCTCCAGTGCATCGCTCAGCTGCACTCGCAACTCTCTCGCCTGCAGCACCTGGGGCTGTTCCCCTACAACGTGCAGCCACTGCTGATCAGGTAAAAACAAGAGAAGGTCTTATCCAGGTGAGCGAGCGGTTGAGTCAATTCACAAATCATTAAGAAGAGAAACTTGGGAGGGGATGCTTCAAGATCTAGTTTTCATACATTTTTCCCCTCCCATCCACGTCTTACCTTATTTGCGTCCTTGTTTGCTGCTAAATATATTCTAATGCCCCTTGTACATTTTCCCTCTCCAAACTGAGCAGGTTATGCAAGTTGATGATGACAAGGGGATCATAACAAGCTGTTTCATTATAGGCCTCTTTTCATGGCCACATCAACACCTAACTCAAAGTGCAAGCTTCTGATGTAGCATCAGATCAGAGTAGCTTGTGTCCTAGCAATTATTTTCTTCTTGCCTGTAACAATTTGCAGCGAATTGTGCGAGGAGAGGCTTGAATTGAAATACGGTAGAGGGAATGACGCCACGAAGTACATTCACTAACCACAAACCTGTCGTGGAAGAATAAAAAGCGTTAATGAACCGCTTCCTAGTACAATAACGATGGAAGGCAATGAGAGGTGAAGTTACAAACTACTTGTACTAAGCGTTCTTCCTGAATCTGTACATCCCGAGGGGCTTCTCCGCCATATAAATTCTTCAAAACAGCATGTCCATCATGCAACAACAGCAAAGGCACGCCATCCTGCACAAGAGAGCGCAAACGAAGGAGCGAGACATCAATTTGGGAGGCTCGTCGCGATCGATTGGAGCATGTAATAAACGAAGTCAGCAAAGCCATGCCAAACTCACGAAAAAAAGTATTCCACTTACAAAGCAGCGCAGCAATCAGCACCGTCGGCACCGTCTCTCTTCTGCACAATGACCGTCTGATGTGGGGGAGGTGGGTGACCTTGTGGAGGATATCCCTGAGGCGGATATCCAGGCTGTGGGGGATATCCCTGAGGAGGAGGAGGATATCCCTGAGGAGGAGGAGGGTACCCCTGGGGAGGATAACCCGGAGGGGGGTAACCCTGTGGTGGGTAACCTTGAGGAGGAGGCGGGTATCCCTGAGGAGGTGGAGGATAGCCACCAGGCGGTGGTGGATAGCCTGAAAATCAATCGGAAAGAACAAATTCGCAAGAACCAAGACAACTTATTAGTTTAAGAACTAATGACAATGACGGAACGGCGTGAACACTGATGTCAAGTAGCTTTGTCACCTTGAGCGGGAGGCGCTCCGACGGGTGGAGCTTTATCCGCCATGTCTGCTTACGATTCTCGCGTAATGCTCTTAAGATCTGACTAAGCTAACAACATATTAAGGGAAGAATGAACAACAACTAATGGCGATCAGTTGAAACACACACAGAAGACGCTGCTTGTTGTTCCCTTGTTCTTGAAGATTCAGTTCGGTCTGAAGGCTGACTTGAACCTGGTGATTCTCGGCGGTGGAAACAAAAAAGGGGTCCCCTTGCAAGTGAACTTGGGGGGTACGCTGAATTTCGTCCAACGGCAACGTCACGAGTGCTTAAAAAGAGGGGTTTCGCGGGAGGGTGTGACGAGTGACGTGTTGGCTGAGCAATGACGTGCTTGCGGTGCCAAAGGCCTCGCCAGCACGAAGCTGTTCCCGTCACCACACTGCGGAAAAATCTCCCGTACCTCGATAAAGCAGGATGAACGAATCAGAGTGTGGGCGACGCGATAAGATGCGAAGACTGTGTCGTTTTGATGCCAGACAGCTCATCAGCGCCTTCAAATCAGGGTGACTCACTTCCACAAACCGACTTGGAAAACTGTTACGTGTGCAATTGAGTGAGCGAGCGAGAATTGCACTATCTAAGCAAAAGTACAAATGAGCGAAGGCATGAGCGAAGAATATATAGCGAAACTACAGTGGTAACGGTAATGGACTGTGGTTGTCGCGTGATGGGCCTGGGACTGAGGTTGGAAAAAGTGTCGAAGCGGAGGCACGGAGCGCGGGTTACCCGCCGAGCCGTGAGGTCGGGGTGCGACATGCGAAGGTGGCGGGAGGATTGTCGATGCGAGAGTTGCGAGTAGTAACGGTGCTGACTGTGGTGCTATAGTGGTGTACGCGCTGAGCGGGGACGCGAAGTAAGGAAAGGGATTTTTCCTTACACTACCCCCCCTCCCCCCCTAAGGAGGTCCTCCTTACGAAAGTGCGTGTACATCCCTGAAGTTTCGGCTGCGCAGATACTCGGTGAGGACGGGGTGGTTTTCGATACTATCCAGGGGAACCCAGTTGTCTTCGGTGGGTGTACGGTCTTTCCAGCGGATCAGGAACTCGATCCTTCGGGCTCCTCGAGGATCGCGAACTTTGTGACTCAGAATTTTCTCGGGGGTGATGATTGGTTCAGTCGGCGGTCGTGTCATGCTGGCTGGGCGATTTCGTGGGAGTTGGCTTGTGGACGGGACGTAGGGGCGAAGCAGGCTGACGTGGAACGAGGGGCTGACGTACCAGTCAGCGGGGAGGAGGAGGTGGGCGGTGACGGGTGTGATCATGTGGCTGATGCGAAATGGTCCACAGTATCGGGGACGGAGTTTTGGGGTGATGGGCAGGCGGAGGTTCTGGGTGTCAAGTAAAACTAGGTCGTCGGGCTGGTAAGTGACAGGTCTGCGGTGGCGGTCGGCGTTGCGTTTAGCGACGATGTTCGATTTTTTTATTGCGTCTGCTGCCCGGGTCCGTGCTGCTTCTAATATTTCGGCGAACTGTTGTGCTCGTGGGACTGGGTTGTCGGGATTATGGGTCATGGGTACTGTTGGGTCTTGTCCGTAGTTCAAGTAAAACGGTGACTGTTGGGTCGTGGCGGAAGGCGAATTGTTGTACGCGAACTCGATGAGTGGCAGTTGCTGTTCCCAGGTGGTCGGGTCGTCGCACGTGGCTCGGATGAGTTGTTTGATTTGTCCGTTCTGTCTGTCCGTCAGTTTCGGGGTGGTACGAAAAGCTGAACTGTAGTCACGTGCCAAACTGCTGCCACAGGTTCCGCCAGAAGTTGCTGGTGAATTTCGTGTCTCGGTCGCTGATGATCGCTGCTGGTATCCCGTGCAGGCGTACGACGGTGGCGATGAAGAGGCGGGCGGTTTCTTCGGCTGTGATCGATTTCTTGCAGGCTGCGAAATGTGCCATTTTCGTCAGTCGATCGACGACGACTAGGATCGCGTCGTTCCCACTCGCCCCGGCCGGTAACCCCGTGACGAAATCCATCGTCACCTGCTGCCAAGCATGCTCTGGGGGTGGTATCGGCTACAACTATCCTGCCGGCCGCTGCCTTGATGACTTCATGAGCTGGCAAGTGGGACACGATGCCACGTGTCGCTGTACGTCGGTCAACATTTCGGGCCAGTAATAGTACCGCTGCAGCTGCTGCCGTGTTTTTTCTACTCCGAAATGCTCCGAGGTAACTCCGTCGTGTGCCTCCTGTAACAGTAATTCTCGTAGTAGTGTATACCCAGGCACCCAAATGCCGCCAGTCCCGGCTTTTACGTAATAGACTCCCCTTGCTGCTGCGAACTGTTGCGAATTTCCTCCTGTGAAGAATGGATCCGTTTGGTACCCGTGGGTAAATAGGCCTGTCAGTAGTGGGCTTGTCTGGGCGAGTAGTATTGCGTGGATCTGGGCAGTGGGGCGGGTCAGTGCGTCGGCGATGTTCGAGGCTCCTTTTTTGTAAGTGACCGTGTAGTGAAAGTTGGACTCGAGAAAATCGAGCCAGCGAATTTGTCGTGGGTTGAGGTGTGGCTCTGCGCGAAGGTACTGTAGTGATTTATGGTCTGTCCGTACTGTCACGTCTGCGCCGGTCAAGTAACAGCGCCATACTTTGAACGCGTGCACGATCGCAAGCATTTCGCGGTCATGTATCGGGTAATTTTTCTCGGGCGGATGCAGTTTTCGTGACTCGTATGCGATGGGCTGTAGGCCGTTGCCGAAGTCTTGTAGCAGTACGGCTCCGATGGCGATGTCGCTTGCGTCGGTAACGACTTCGAATGGGCGATGTGGGTCGGCGATGCGCAGGACGGGCGGTGAACAGAGAACATTTTTCAGGGCAGAGAAGGCAGCATGCTCTTTCTCTCCCCACGTAAAAACGACCCCCTTCCTCAGTAAATCCGTCAGTGGGGCAGTTAATCGTGCCATATCGGGGACGAACCTGTCAGTAGAGCTACACTGTGAGATCCCCGATCGATCCTAGGGGGGGTTACAGGCGCGTTTGCCTGGGGGGTTATGGGCGCACTGACCCGCTACTGAAACAAGCCCTTTTATCCCAATGGTCTAGTGGTTGGGATTCTGACATGGTATCAGAGCGGTCTCGGGTTCGAATCCCGGTGTATGCACATGTTGGCCGTTGCCACTGTGCTCAGTCCTGGGCCTCCCAGTCTGGGGGGGTGTCAGTAGAGCTACACTGTGAGATCCCCGATCGATCCTAGGGGGGGTTACATGCGCGTTTGCCTGGGGGGTTATGGGCGCACTGACCCGCTACTGAACAAGCCCTTTTATCCCAATGGTCTAGTGGTTGGGATTCTGACAGAACCGACGCACATAATTAACGAACCCTAGAAAGCTCTGCAGCTTAGTGATGTTCGTCGGGGGATGCCACGCTTTTACTGTATCCAGCTTCTTTGGGTCAATTTCAACTCCAACCTCCGAAATAACGTGCCCTAAAAATTCTAACCTATCCTGGAAGAACTCGCACTTGGAACCCTTGGTCAGTAATCTGTGCTCGTCTAAAACCTTAAATACTGCTTCCAGATCTGCTAAGTGCTGCTGCTTATCCCGACTGTAAACTAGGATGTCGTCGAGGTAAACCATCACACATTTATCTAAGAGCGGCCTAAACGCCTCGTTCATGGTTATCTGAGAAGTCGTCGGTGCGTTGGTCAACCCGAATGGCATCACAGTGTACTCAAACGACTCATACCTAGTCCTGAAAGCTGTTTTGGCGCAGTCCGATGGTTCGACCCTAATCTGATGGTAACCTCCCCGTAAATCTATTTTCGAAAAAACCCGTGCTGTTCGCAGTTGGTCGATCAGTTCGTCGGCGCGGGGA